CTATGTTTTCATAATTACCCTTTTAACTTTTAAACAAAACTTTCAACTTGATAATACATATATTTGAATTTAAAAAGGCAACTTGGTAAAAAGTTGAAAAATGCTAATTTGCCCGACTACTGATCACCCGAAAAAACCCGACTAAACTCGTGTCAATAGTTGATTAGCACAACCTTGCGCATAACCCTTTTCCCCTTTCTTCAGACTCTGTACTCTTCATCCCTCTCATCTCTCCCCTTTCTCTTTCCTGCGATAGACAAGGATTGTGTGAGATGTTTGGTGACAAGAACCTTACCGGCGCCACCACCGACTACCAAACTTCAACTTATATATATTTTTTTCTCTCAACCTCACCACACTTCTCTATCTTCGAATAAAAACACCACCTCCTTCGTCGATTTTCTTCATCTCGCGGGGTAATCAGTTCCAGTTCCGGCCGACTTTGGCCTTCATTTTCTCCAACTCCACAGTAGCTGCTAGCGCTCTCTCCGGCCAGGACCAATTAATCTTTTTCTCTATCTTCTTAAAAAAATAATTCAATTGTAGTCTATCAAAGCTTCTCTGTTTTCAATTCATTCCTCAAAACCAATTCTGTTACAAGAAACCAATTAAATTTGTGTTCTTTTCCAACCCATCCCTCAGAATCAATTCTTATGACGATGGTAGCGACGGACTGAACTTCTAGCAAGGAGTCCGGTGGCGGCAAGGAAGAACCGCACCGGCTACGCAAGGAGGAAACATAGTGGCTCAACTCCGGTAATTCTCTTCGCCGTCCGATTACTATCCATACACAAATCATTGATCAGAGTCAAAACCCTTATCGTCGCAATACGAGCTAGAAATCACCGATCGGAGATAACACTGACAAAAATATCATCGCTAACCCACTCTGAGTCTTGGTCACAAGCCTTTGTAGAAACTTTTTTCGTTCGTGTATTCTACCGGATGAAGAATATAGGGATTGAAGAAAAGGAAGAGTATAAAGATTGAAGAAAAGGGTTGTGCACAAGGTTGCGCTAATCAACGACTGACACATGTTTAGTCTGTTTTTTTGGATGAACAGTAGTCGGGCCGTGTAGCATCACTCTAAAAAGTTGTACTTACTAAAATGGACAACTAATATCCGACGGAATAAAATTTTAAGTTGACATGTAATTAATGCATTATCCATTTTTAGAATTATCGAGTTGTTCTATTATGTTTAAATATAGATATTACCAAATTGAGAGATTTTTGAAAACATAAAGGGTAATTACAAAAATATAACATTGGGACATCCTAAATAAGAAAGATGGACTAGGGTATGACACGCACTTTAAACCTTAATCTCATTAAGAAATAACAATTATATATACATAACGAAGTTATAATTTTGACTCTACCTTTACATTTATACTCCCTTTTTCCCACACTAGGTGTATTATAACATTTTTAATGGGGCATACAATTATTACATTGCCCTATTTAAAAAAAAAAATAAGTTGTTCTTTTAAGTTTAAATATGTATATTATGAAGTTAGAAGGTTTTTAAAATTTTAAAGATAATTGTGAAAAGATAGCATTTATTTTGTCTTGACTTTTCAAATGAGACAACTAATTTGGGACATTCGAACAACAGAAGAGGTACTACTAATATGGGACGAATGAGTAATGATTTGAAAAATATATGGAGAGGGATTAAAGAAGAAGATTTTTTGGTTAGTTAGATCCAATTAAAAAAATGAAGGAAAGAAAAAACAATGGTTTGCCACCTAAAAAACACTTCTATGATATGCATATAGAGTGTATAGCCCTTTATACGTTATGAAAAATCCCTAACATTCAAATTTTGAGCAAACAAGAACCTGAATGCTGAAAAAACTAAAGTGTCCCTCTATAACTGAATAAAAAAAAAAAGGTAAAAAAAATAATTAAATGTGAAATAACTAAAGTGTCCCCCTTTTTTTTTTTTTGGGTCACGAGCAAAAAATACCCCTATGGTATGCATATAGAGTGTATAATCCTCATTTTAAAAAATCTCTAACATTCAATTTTAGAGTAAATGGACTTGACTACTGAACAGGCTAAAGTATCACTCTATAATTGAATAAAAAATAGGTAAAAAAAATTAATTAAATGTGAAATGACTAAAGTTTCCCTCTTTTCAGTTCAGTGTATATATAGATAATGGCATTATCGGAAGATATATGGGTATTTTCAGAATTTTATATTTAAAAAATGTGTGATTAAATTTTTAACAAAATAGTGACCTCAAGCTCTTCTTTGCTCATTTTTTAAAATTTAACGGAGTTATATATACAACATGAACAGTAAGAGTGTTATTTGCCCAAAATGTAAACATTAGGGGTGTTTTTCCGACTTTACCCATTTTTTTTTCTTTTTTTTTTTTTTCTTCTTCTTATGTATAAGGGCATTATTGGAAGAGAAAATGGTATTTTCATAATTTTGTATCTTAAAAATGTCACGTGCAATGTACATGACTAAATTTGTAACGAAACTCTGATTTCAAACCCTTCTTTCATCATTTTTTTCAAACTTAATACACTTACAAATAAGGAAGTAATTAACCCTTCTTTTATCATTTTTTTCAAACTTAATACACTTACAAATAAGGATAGTTAAGTCAATCTGTTCAGTATGGAAATTACATTTAAAATATTATGTTTTCAACTGAGACAACTAATTTGGGATATTCAAACAAGAAAACCTCCATTTAGAAACTCAGGTGAGCCGCCTCTACTTTTCCTCTGTTCTCTCTCTACCCTTTCTCTCACTCTTAGCTGCTCGTCCCTATTCTGTTTTGTTCCCTGCTCCCTTCCATGGGAGTGGGGAGGTGGCTTTGCTTGCCTCCTAAGGTTTAATAACCTCGGCGTGTCTCAATAAGTTAGCCTTGTGGGTAGTTTTCACGTCATTTTTTATTTTTGTGTGGCTAGATCTGCTCCTGTTTGGTTTGTTTCTGGCTGGATGGGATGGATATGTTGTTTTCCCTTCGGCTAGATTTCTGATGTAGGTCGATTTTTTGTTTTTCCCGGCTTGATTTGCTCTTGTGCGAGGTTGGGTGTGTGGAGGCGCCTTATGGATGCAGCTTTGGAGCTGTTGCCTTGATGATGGCCTAACCTTTGGTCACTCCAGTTGCTACTCTTCTCCCTTGGTGGTTTCCGTTCTAGAGCGATGACTCTTTCTAAACAAATCTGGAGCATATTCTTCATTTTTCTTGTTTAGCTTCATGATTTGTATGCCTTTATCTGGCTTAATTTATACCTTTGTACAGCCATTTTAGCTTGGCCTTTGTGCCTTTCAAATGATAAAAAATAAAAAATAAAATAAAATAAAAAACAAGAAAAGAGGTATTACTAATACGGGACAAATGAGTAATGATTTGAAAAATATATGAAAAGGGATTAAATTAAGAAGAATGATTTTTGGTTTAGTTAGATCCAATTTAAAAATGAAGGAAAGAAAAAACAAAGGGTCACGAGTTGAAAAACACTCATATGGTATGCATATAGAGTATATAACTCTTCTGAAAAAACCCCAACATTCAAATTTTGAACAAACAAGGATCTGAATGCTGAAAAAGTAAAGTGTCTCTCTATAACTAAATAAAAAAAAGGGTAAAAAAAATAATTAAATGTGAAATAACTAAAATGTCCCTCTTTTTTTTTGTTGGGTCATGAGCAAAAAATACCTCTATATATGGCATGCATATAGAGTGTATAACCCCCTATACATTCTAAAAAATTCCTAACATTCAATTTTGGAGCAAATAAGGAGTTGATAACTGAAAAGACTAAAGTGTCCTTTATAATTGAATAAAAAATAGGTAAAAATTATTATTAAATGTGAAATGACTAAAGAATACCTCTCTATATGGCATGCATATAAAGTGTATAACCCCCTATACATTCTAAAAAATCCCTAACATTCAATTTTGGAGCAAATAAGGAGTTGACTGCTAAAAAGACTAAAGTGTCCTTTATAATTGAATAAAAAAATAGGTAAAAATAAGTATTAAATGTGAAATGACTAAAGTGTCCCTCTTTTCGGTTCAGTGTATATATATATATATATATATATATATATAATGGCATTATCAGAAGATATATGGGCATTTTTTAAATTTTATCTTTAAAATGTTATGTGCAATGCACATTATTATATTTTTAACGAAATAGTGACATCAAGTCATTCTTTGGTCATTTTTTAAAACTTAACGGAGTTATATACAACCTGAACAATAGTGGTGTTATTTGACCAAAATGTAAACATTAGAGATGTTTTTCTCACTTTGCCCTTTTTTCTTTCTTTCTTCTTCTTGTATACAAGTACATTATTGAAAGAGAAAATGGCATTTTCAGAATTTTGTATCTTAAAAATGTCATGTATAATGTAAATAACTAAATTTGTAACGAAATAATGACTTCAAACTCTTCTTTGATCATTTTTTTTTTCAAACTTAACACACTTATATACCCAAAAAAACATTGGGCTGATATTTGCCCAAAATTTAAATATTAGGAATGTTTTTCTCATTTTGACCCAAAACAAATAAGGAAGTAATTAAACAGGAATAGTTAACTCAATCTTTTCTATATGGAAATTACATTTATATTTTGAAAACAAATAGGGAAGAAAACAGGGTCAATTAACTCATTCGTTTTTATGTGGAAAATGCCTTCATATTTTAAAGCAGTAGACCACTTTCAACTTAAATTTTTTTCATCTATTCTCCGCATTTGTTACATAGGGATGGAATGAAATAAATTGTCCATCCCGCCATTTTGATTTATTTCTTTATTTGGTAAGACAATTAAAGTTGAAATTACCATTTCAGGTTATTTCATCCCACTTTTTAACTTATGAAATAACCATCTCATTCCCAAGTATTTTTTTTTTTTTATAAAAAAAATCACGTTCCCAAAAAATCATCCTCAGAAGTTGTTTGGGCACCAACATGACTCATAGTGCACTAGTTTTCTTTTTGTTTCTTGGCTTTCCAGTTTTCATTTTGAGTGATCAAACCACAATTGTGGTGTCAAAGGATGGGAGTGGAGACTATAGCACCATCTCAAAAGCTGTTTCTGCAATACCTGATTCAAGTTCAGCCACATACACCATTTACATCAAAAAAGGAACTTACAGTGAAGCAGTAGATGTGGGTAGGGAGAAGAAAAGTGTTGTATTCATGGGAGATGGAATTGACCAAACCATAATACAATTCAATAAGAGTAATTCCACTGGTTATGGGACAAACGTATCTGCCACTGTCAGTATGTCACTATTCCACATCTTCTTCTTCTTCTTCTTCTTTTTTTCTTTTTTTTTTTTCTTTCTATTGCCTATTTGATATATTTAAGTTACTGTATATAGTGTTTTATATCATGTAGTTTTTTGCTTGCATGCAGATATTAATTTCCTAGTTTAGCTCTTTGCTTATGAAAATACCATAAAATGACAAGCATGCATAGCTTTAGCATTTAGACTATATTTACGCTCCCATTTTTTTACACTTGCGCTCCACTTGTCTATTTAAAATAATTTTTCCTATTTAGTTGAAATACGTTTTTATATAGTTGAAAAGCAATCACAAACAAGTTCTAAGTTTCGAAACCTTTTCTTTATTAAATAAATTATTTATTTTAACAAAATTAAAAAGAAAGAAAGTATAATACACAAAAAAATAAAAAATAAAACCCAAAAATAGAGTTATCTTGTTGAAAATATTCTGATGGGAATGAGAAAAAAAGAAGAAGAAGAAGAAGTTATTGCTATTGAATAAAATTATATCTTTTGCCGGGGCCCCTTCCAAAAAAAAAAAACTAAAATAAGTTAAAAAAAATAAAATAAAAAAAACTAAAATAAGGTATCTCTGTTTAATAAATTATCTATTTGACCGAATCCAAAAAATAAATAAAAAAGTAGTTAAAGTTTATAGTACAAAGGGGTTATATAGTTATGGTATTTGAAAATAAAAGATAATGCATTAATGAATTTAGAATAGTGGAGTGCAATATCGCATACCTTAACCCCCTCAATATATTAACAACAAAATCAGAATTATAATTTTATTTAAACATGAAATTTGTATAAATCATGTAATTACAAGTGTCATGCTCATTTGAAGTATAACGATTTAATTTAATTATATAAGGAATGTGATTACTGAACACATAAAACAAGTAAAAAAACAAAGAGTGTGATTACTGAACACATAAAACAAGTAAAAAAACAAAGAGAGAGAATTATCAGGTATAACAATTAAAGACTCATTCAAGTTTAGCAATCACTATCAAGTTTTGCAAAGAAAGTGTTATTAGGAAAGGTACGTGTTCATACGTGGCAAAGAAAGTGTTATTAGGAAAGGTGTTCATACGTGCACTAGTACAAAGTTGATTTTCAATATGGCAGTAGTTTTATCTTGTTGATACTGAATTACTGAGTGACATATTGCAAATTTTTTTGAAGAGGGAAGCATTTAATAGAGAGAAGAGAGAGAAGTCTAAAAGTCATATAACATAATTGGCCTGTTTAGATTGGCTTTTGAAACGCAGCTGTTTTAATGTGTATATTGTTTACATGCAGATATAGAAGCACAAAAATTTGTTGCAAAAAACATCAGCTTTGTGAATACCGCGGGAGCCAATGCCGGACAAGCAGTTGCTTTGAGGAGTATAGCCTCAAATGATGCATACTATAAGTGTTCCTTCGAAGGATACCAGGACACCTTGTACGTGCATTCCGGCACAAAACTTTTCTACGAATGCAACATCTATGGAACCGTAGACTTCATCTTCGGCGACGCAACCAGCATGTTCCAGAACTGCAACATATACGGGAGAAATCCCGGTAAGGAAGGAATGCCCATTGTTGTTACAGCTGACAGAAGGGATGCCGCAAATAGTGACACCGGGATAGTGATTCAGAATTGCACCATCACGGCGGCACCAAATTTCGGACCGTCAAATTCTAATTTCAGAGCATTTCTTGGACGCCCATGGCGAGAGTATTCTAGGGTAGTAGTAATGGAGTCTTTCTTAGGAAATATCGTAAATCCTGCTGGCTGGGCACCGTGGGACAAGAACTCCAGATTGGATCATTTGAGCTACATTGAATATGACAACAGGGGTCCCGGAGCTGCAACTAGTCGTCGGGTCAAATGGCCGGGTTTTCAAATTGTAACCAGATCCAGTCAAATGCTACAGTTTACGGCTAAAAACTTCATCCATGCAAATGACTGGTTACCTTCAACTGGTGTACCTTTCATTCCCGGACTCACTGGAGATCGAAAATAATGTAATATCTATTGTTTTTTATCACCCAACACCACACACACATCCATTGCAACTGCTGCTTTTTTTTTTTTTGGAAAGAAAAAACTTTGATCTTTTTCTTGAAACAGCTTTTTTTTTTTAAAAAAAAAAAATCTTTGCTGTCCTTGCATCTGGTTGTTTAAATTTGCTCTCTTTCGCGCCTTCACTCGATTGGCGTGTGTTTTTGGGCTGTTTTGTGCGTGATTGGACAGTACGTTGACCATTGTCTTCCTTAGATACGGATAATGTCACAAAGATATCCATAACTGATAAGTACACAAAACCTATTATTTTATGCATCAAAATAAGGTTTTAATTAGACTTTTATATTATTTAAATATTCTTATATGTTTGTTTTGTGTTTTGTAGGTATTAATGCATGAATGGAAAGAAAATAAACCAAAAAATGAAAAATAAGTGAAAAAGAGAGAAAGAAGAAAAGAAAAGAAAAAAGAAGAAGAAAAGACCAAGTCAACAGAAGTGTGTGCATAGTCAGCAAGGGAAAGTTAGAAAATGAAAGAAAAAGTAAAACAAGAAAATGGGAGTGGTTGAAGTCAACGGAGAAACTGTGAAGTGGTCAGTAGCAAAAAGATGGCGTGAAACAATGAAGAAAAAATTTGGGCAAGCCATCGTCACAAGCCTACAAGTGGGTTGCTGCAATTATCTATAAATTGCGCACTTCGGGTGGAGAGTTAGATATAGATTTTGGTGAAGATAGAGAATAGGTAGAGTAGAAAGTTAGAGATAGAATTTTTTTATGTAATTTTCTTTAAAGTTTGTTTAATTTAATGCAAATTATGTCCACAAGTTTTATTCTCATTTAATTTTCAATTCGAGTGTTTAATGTTTTATAGTTGTAATTTCATTTCCATAGTTCGTGACCAATTTTAAAATCAATATTTTTAAATCTCTTGTTCTGAAATAGAAACTCACCTTGAATGCGTAGTTCGACCCTATTTGCCATTAGACATTTTTAGTTAAATGGTTGTAGGAATTTTATATGTTGATATGGAGTGTATTTGATAACGACAAGTTTATAAATACACGTCTATCAAATGGCGTCGTTCCGCTTCAAAGTTGAGTTAAAAATTTTTGGACCCATTTTTATTCTATCTTTCATCTATTTTCTATTTTTATTTTGGTCATTTTATTTTTATTTTTTGTTTTCTGTTTCTTGTGTTATTTGGAAAAAAAAAAAAAAAAAAAGTTGGCCATTGTTACTGGTGTTTTATTCTTCAAACCCAGTACATCAACATGCTCATTTTTCAGTTCAAACATTGTTCAAACTGAAAGTCAATCTAGTGACTGAAAAAAAAAAAAAAAAAACCCAGTTTGAGAGACATTAAACTCACTTTTGTTTGTTTGGTTTGTTTTCATCATTATATATATATACATATAGTATGTTCCTCAAACCTAGAACAAGAGTGCAGTGATAAAAAAATATATAAATAAATAAAAAATAAATAAATAAATTTCAAAACCCAGAACAAGAAGCTTGGCTTCTCCTTGCTTCGCACCGTCCGCCGTCCACCTTGCTCGCAAACTCACTGCCTTCTGATCAGCCGAACCAAGTTCATAGCCGTGCTCACCGCCGGTCCGTTCCAGCAGCCATCCACACCGCCGCAAGCTTCCAAGCTCGCCGGTGCCGCGAGCAGCCGTGAACCAGTCCTCACAAACCGCAGAGCCATCCACAGCCGGCTCTCCGTTGCCATCTCCGCCGCGAGCTCTCCACCTCCAAGCTCGCCGTGCCCATCACGGCCAAACCACAGTTCAACCACCGTCCGCCGTCAGCCACTGCCCAAGCCCGCCATCACAGCCGCCGTCCTTCCCCATCTCATCCAAGCTCACCGCCGAGTCATCCGCGGCCAAGCTCACCACAGACCAAACTCGCCGGGCCCCACGTCCAACAGCCGCCATCCTCACCGCCGCGAGTTCAGCCGGGTACAAAGTCGCCGCGCCGCCGTCCATCAAGGCTGATTCCGCCGTCGCCATCTCTCCTCCGGCCAAGCTCGCTGTCGCCGGCTGCCCATCTCATCCTCGCTGTCCTTCTTCTGGGTTTGACAGACATCAGAGACATATATGATATATATGTATAATATATTTTAGATATATATATTATATATCAAAGGCAAATAGCCCCTATTTGGCTACAAGTGTAGCACTGTCCTAGTTCAGGACCTGGACCAGAATCTAAACCAGTTCTACAAATTGGTTCTGTTGTAAACCAGTTCTGAAAAAACAAAAAAAAACAACAAACAAAAAACAAAAAACAAAAAACAAAAAAAAAAAAAATTGCCGATTCAAATTGGGGACTTATTTTGGAACATTCAAAAGATTGGATATTCTTATTGGAGCACACGTGGAAAAAATTACAAACGATAGCTTTGTTTTCCAAGTAAGTACCTTAAATCTCCCGTTAGCGGTTTCATATATTTTTTTTAGACTAGGAAAACTTAGTTTTTTTTTTTAGGTGATTAACTTTTGCATGCAAATTTTAGGATAGAATAACTTAGACGTAACCTTAAGTTCACAATTTCTTCTATTTTATTTTATTTTATTTTTGTATTTCTTTATCTTTAAAAAAAAAAAAAAAATCACACTCTCACTCCCTTTATTTTTATTTTATTGATTATCTTATTTGTACATCTTTTAATTAGCATTTACATAAGATACTTAAGGGCAAAATCCAAACAAGATACGGTCGGAATTTCATCACCCGTTTTCCGTGGCCCACAAATCATTAAATCCTTGCATTTGTCAAACCCGAGCCCAATTTAATTTAATTTTAAAATCAAGTAGACATTGGCCATAGGGTTTTTCACATAGCTCATAAGATCCTCTTCGACAGAATTAATTTTTGGTCACTCCAGTGAGTACCTTCCAACTTGGCAATGTCTAAGGAAAGTTTTGTCTAAGGGTGTGGGCGTACCATCATTAAGCAGGCCTCGTCCTCCCCACACTTCCTGGAAACTTCCCTGGTTATCTTGTTGGCAGGCCTTAATTGGTAAGCCTCTAATTATTTTAGAAGAGAGTAGGAGTTTTTTTTCATAGGAGCTTTAATTACTTTAGAAAAAATTCACCATCCTTGAATTTAAGCTCAAGATTAAAAAGCCAAAAATATTTGTGTGGTTTGTGTGTGCACTCCAGTGTTTAGCCCATTTTTAGGATCTAATTCTCAAGGGCTTTCCTTAAATTAAAAAAAAAAAAATTGTGTGCTCTTTGGTGTCCAGTTTTGTATGCCCAACTGATTAAGAGTTAACAAACGATTAATCCGTTGTTCCAGTGATCCTTCAATCTTTGCTTTGGAGAAAGCATTCTTACTTTCTTCCAAATCCAATTATTCTCTAATGGATCCACTTGTTCAACCAGTTCCACCACTTGTTCCACCAGCACAATCGGTTGTCCCACCTGCTCCTAGAACTTTGAATGACTATTTTGCCCCTATCACAGCCAATCCACCCAATTGTATTGTTCTTCCTCCAGTCGGACCTCAATTTGAGATTAGAGCCCATATCATCAATATGTTGCCTAAATTTCATGGATTTGAAAATGAACAACCTTATGTCCATTTAGGGAAGTTCTTAACCATTTGCAGTACTTTCAAAAATCAGCATTTAGATGATGAAGGTGTCAAATTGCATCTGTTTCCCCTGTCCTTAGATGATAAAGCTTCCTCATGGTTCAACTCTCTTCCTCCAAACTCCATTAGATCATGGGATGAACTTGTTAAAAAATTCATGAACAAATTTTATCCAATGCAAAAAACAGAGTTAATGAGAGACGCCATAAGCACTTTCAAAGGGAAAAATGAAGAACAATTCCATCAAACTTGGGAGCGTTTTCATGATTTGCTTCTCAAATGCCCACATCATGGCTTTGAGAAACCACAATAGGTTCATTCTTTCTATAAAGGACTTTTTCCTACTAATCGAACCATGATTGAGTCAATGCACCAAGGAAAGTTCAAATCCCAAACTCCTGAAGAAGCTTATGCTTTCTTAGAAGAACTTGTTGAGAATGCCCAAAGTTGGAACTGGAACCCTTGTGATGACGAATTCTCTAGGAATGATCCCTCTAAAAGAACTTCCAATTTTTTTGAGATCAAACCCGAACCTGAATTCAAGTCAGTGATGCAAAGTCTAGCAGATGGAGTCAAAGATTTGAATAAAAAATTTGATGCCTTTGCTCTTATGTCAACAACTGCAAAATGCAATGTATGTTCAAGTTCATCTCATCCCAATGAGGCTTGTCCGATCTTGTAAAGTTTTTGACTTTATCTATATATATAATTAGTAAACAATAACTTTTTCCACTGTGGGGCCCACCTGTGATATAAGGGTCATTACAGACCCATTTAGTTTCCAATTTGCTTTCTCTCTCGGACAGCTTAAGTCTCTCTCTCTCGCTGCTTCTGTCTTTTCCTTTTCTTTTTTTCTTTTTCAACTTCAATCCTTGATTTCTCTCTCAATTCTTGGCGGATTTAGGTGCCGTTTGAGGCAAAACGACGAGCACGACGAGCTCTACGTGCTAGTACCAGAAATTCCAGCTTTTGGTCCTCTTTAGGAGCTCGAATTTAAGAACCCATTTCTAGGGATTTTGCTCATTTTGAGGTAGGGACACCTTAATCCACTACCTTCTTATTCCATTGTGAGTTATACTCCTTTGTTGTGCCAAGCATGCTTAATTAGAAGTTAATTGTATCAATGATTATTTTAAATGTTGTCTAGAGAAATTCATGTGTATGAATGTGAGTTGTTTTATGTGTAAAGTATGCTTAAATGTATTTTGTTGTATCTTAATGTGTTAATAATTACTTGGGAGATGTTGAACATGTTAAATGTTTAATTTTATGGTGTAGAATTTTAAATGCCATGACATTGAATGTATAGAACATATATACATCCATGCACATGTCATTGGGGATGCATAAAATGGGAGAATTTGTCTTGAAATGAAAATGGGAGAAATTTTAGGAGAAGAGT